TATATATATAATAATTTACACCTCCAAAGAGCACATTCTGCAAGTCTGCCTCCTGGCCACCAGCTCTTAGTCCCTCTGTTCCCATGAATCTAGAGTCCTGAGCCGCTCCCTCCCACCGTGTCCCCATCTCTACCTCCTTCTCTGGCGTCCCTGCTTCTCTGGATAAGGTCTAGCATTCCGCTTGCACTCTTCTCCCTTCATGGTCCTAGGGTCCTCTGTTTCTGGACTATAAGATTAATCACGCCCATGTTTTTGTTACAAAATTTCTACCTTTACAATTGTGACAGTCGCAATTAGTCATGATAACATTTATTCACTATTGAATCATACGAAATCTTATCCCCATCTCTTTTCACCAGATGCATCTAGACAAGATGAAAACTATTCAGTGAGGACTTTTTATTCCCCCCGCCCCCCACTCTTAAACTAAACTCCCTCGTCAAAACTTGTAAGCCAGTCACTTCATGCCTTTATTGCCCCCTCATTTTAGGTAGCCAGTGTCTAAGTTGCCTATCCCTATCTACCCTGTCTACCAAGGGGATCGCATTGATACTACCTCCATGAATATAGGTCAGGTTGATCAAATTTTAGCAATTTACCCTTGTTTCCTTTATAAAAAAAATTTTTTTGTAATCGTCCTCTAGTTGAGTTCTGATTATCAAGCCATTGAGGCTAGATCAAATGGGGTACTGTCTGTCTGCAAGTTTGGGTGTTCTTGTGCATCTCCCCTCACTTCATATCAACTGGATGCTTCACTCTCAGCTCTAGCCCTCTGTGGCTATGTCCTTGTCCATGGGCTCAAGTGTCCCCAGGTCTCACCACACTTTGGACCAGCCAGACCTTCCTCTTCCATCTCTCATCTCCAGGTCAACAGGAGTCAGTAGACTGTGGTTGAACTCAGCCCATTTCTTCATTGCTGCCTTTCCCCCTCTTCGACTCACCAGTAGACCAGTGTGGTCATCAGCAAGTTTACATGCCTGTTCGTGTGTCCCTTTTAGTTTTAGTCTTAGAGGGGAGTTTGTCCTGAAGGAACGTGATGGCTTCCCGGCAAACAGCTTGCTTATTCTTGTAGTAGCCAGTCATGCTGACATGTTTATTTTGGTTTTTCCTCATGATCTTTCTATGAAGATGTATCTTCTGTTGCTCTAGCTGTTCCATGCTGTTCTGCTTGTCCTTGCTAGTGGAAATGTCCTATGTCATAAGGTTCTGGATGGGACTCAGGATTCTACCTGCGGTCCTATACACTACAAAGGCTCTGCAATGGGCCTATTTCACTGGGCAAATTGTAGAACCCCTTTTAGGTATGCCAGTCAGTTATAGGCTGAAGATGGGCTTACAAGTTTTCTGTAATCATTTGTCCCAACATTTCCTTTCTATCCCAGTCAAGTGTCTATTTTACAATAGTATGCAAGGGAAACCAATATTCATAAGATAACCATTTTTGTATTATTTCCCCTCTTCAAACTATGCCTAGCTCCCTATATCACAGAGCCCTGTTGTTCCAAGGTTGAGCATGCATCACTATTTAAGTCTGTCCCACTTAGGCCATGCAAACCTATCTTACTGTTCCCCTATCTATCTTGTTGTTCTGTCTCCTCCCCCTTTTTGTATTACCCATCCCAACACCCAAACTAAACCCCCCACCCCTACACCACTGTTGTGGTTACCTTATATTCCATTAACTCTTCCCTCTGTTTAAGACAGTCTATTTTATCCTGTAATCTACCTGACCTTCTCACCCCCTGGATCTCTGTTCCTTTGTGTTTACCTTCTTTCACATTGTAATTGTTTTGATCATAGACTGACCTCCCAGATCCTCTGTTCTTATAATTTTATTATGTTCTTGCCTCTTCTGTTTGTCGATTGATTTCAGAGTGATGCTGTCACGTATGTCATTCTCTGGTTGTTGTGTGTTCTTGTTGGCTCTCAGTCCACAGAACTTCCTTTAGGATGTTTTTCATTAGCAGGGCTTGCTTTGGCAAAATCCCTTAACTTCTGTTTATCCTGGAATGTTTTGATTACACCATCATATTTGATTGATAGCTTTGCTGGATAAAGGATTCCTGGTTGGCAGTTCTTTTCTTTCAGGGTTTTATATATGTCTCCCCATTGCCTTCTTGCCTGCATGGTTTCTGTTGACAGATCTTAGCTTAATCTGATTTGCTTGCCTTTATATGTTACATTCTCTTTTCCCTAGCTGCTTGCAGGATTCTGTCCTTATCTTTGATTTTGGAGAGATTGATTATTATATGTCTTGGTGATTGTCTTTTAGGGTCTATCCTTCCTGGGGTTCGTTGAGCTTCTTGAATGCTTATCTTTTTTGCTTTTCAGGATGTTAGGGAAATTTTCTTCCAGAAGCTCTTCAACTATCTCCTCTGTGGACTTGTGTGATTTTTCCTGTTATGAAATGCCAATAATTCTTAAGTTACTCGTCTTTATGTTGTCCAACATGAATCTTAGGCCTTCTTCAGACTTTTTTATCCTTTTTTTGTGCTTGGTCTTCTATCTTAATAGTTTTGAGAGATTTATCTTCTAGCTCACTAGTTCTGGCTTCTATCTCTTCAATTCTACTCGATTGCCCTTTCAGTATATTGTCCATTTCTGATATTCTATTATTAATCATTTGGACCTCTTTCTGAAGGTTTTGAATTGTTTACAATGCTGTATCTATCTTATTTGATTGTTCATGTAGCGCTTTCCTGACTTCATCTTTATTTTTCTCAACTCTATTTTGTAGTGTTTTGATACATTTTATAATAATTTTTTAGGAATTCCTTCTCAGGCATTTTCAAAGCCTGCCCATCTTCCTTCTAGCTCGTTTGCCTCAGTCACTTTATCTCGTTTCTGGACATGTGCAGATATGGTCATCTGCTTCTGTTTTTTGGGCATATTCAGGAGTTATCTGTGGCCTTAATATTTATATGAGTGTATATTTTGGTATTTTTTATGCTTTCTGATTGCCTCCAGGTAGATGTGATCAGGAGATAGGCTTCCCTTTTCACTCTTCTTCTTGAGAAATTTCAAGATGCCACTGTTGGTTGTGATGCAACTCAGAATTTAATTTTCAGCTGATTTTCTTTTTATTCTGCCTATCCCTGTCCACAGTCCCCATTAGGCCTTTTTCCTAGTGATAAACAGTTCAGGGCCTTCTGTGGCTGTTTTACACTGCCGTTTGGTTTTAAGTGGAAACTGTCCCTTTAAATTACAAGGAGGGTAGTAGAACCCTCCAGGGGTGGGGTGCCCACTCACACCCCTTTTAGTCACCTGAATGGAGGTGCGCATCCAGCGAGAGACCAATGAACAGATAACAACAAAAAAAGTTTCCACACCCTTATCTCCGCAATTCTGTCAGGAGTCTATGGCTGCTCTAATCCTTCCCCCACTTGATCTCTCCCAAGATGGCGGCTCTGGAAGCAGATGAGCGTCTTGGATTAGAAAGCAATGGATTTCTTGCTTCTGCTACAAATTCCTCTAGTTGTAAGCCTTCCAAGTGTCTAAATAATTCCTTTATATGTGGTTCAGAGTTCTGGCACCATCCCCTGAGCCTGCTTGGTCCATCCGGTATTCTGTGTTTTTCCTGACAGAGCTCCTCACTGCACTTCTACCTGATCTGCCATCTTGTTTGTTCTCCATTTTTTGTTTATTTTTTTAAAAATTGTTATTGTTACAACACATAGTTACGCAAATGTTTGCACTTTTTGACAGAAGGAAATAGCTAGTTCTTTCTTATTTGGAGGCCAGAAGTCAAAGTGAGTCAGGATTAAGTGTTGGTATCTTTCTAATTGTGCTGCAAAATGGAAGCAGCTACAAAAGAGGGAACAAATCCCTACAGCAAGGCTCATTCCCACCCCCTCCATACACAGAGTAGACAGGGATGGGCAACTTAGACATTGGCTACCCAAAATGGGTGGCCTACAAAGGCAAGAAGTGACTGGCTTACAAGCTTTCAAGAGGGAAGCTAGATTCATAGGGCATGGAGGAAGGTAGAATCTCCACTGAGTAGTATACAATCTGTTTAGGCGACGCTGGTGACATAAAATCCGGATGGATTTCTTGGGCTACAATAGTGTGAATAATTGTTATCTGGACTGCTTGTTGAGGGATGGAATTGTAAAGGTAGACGTTTTTTAGCAAGGAAGGGAATGATTAACTTTTCAGCCTAAGAGCAGAGGTCCCTGGGACCTTCAAGGGAGAAGAGCGGGACCCTACCCAGAGAAGCATTGATGGCCTCAAATGGAAGCAGAGACGAGATGATGACATGGAGAGATGGAGCTGTTGGGAACTTTAGACACAGAGAGGGAGAGGGGCTGTGTGCTGATGACCAGGGGGCATGATTGTAGTGTATACCCTTTGGATGGTTGATGATGCATGGAGGGGATTGTAACCATAGCAATGAAATGATATACTATAGGATGAATGTAAAACGAATGTTCTCCCATTTAAACGATCACATAATTCACAATAAAACATTAAGAAAAAAAAATGGAAGCAGCTAGATGGAGGTTTGACATGTGGTTTATAATTTTTTTAATTAAAAAATTTTAATACTAAAATTTGTTAGAAGTTTATAATTTACATTACATACGTCCTATGAATTCTAGCTACTTTCCAACTGTACTGAACATAAAATGATTTCCAGTCCAAAGAGCAGAGAGAACTAGAGAAAGAATATAGATGAACAACAAGAAAATAGGATAATATATATTCTGAGCATTTTCTTATCCCTGAATAATACATTTTTGTTTTTTATTTGCTTCATAGAATTCTGCTAGTAGATGTTTGATTTTAGGACAAGCTTGATTAAAAAGAAACCAGGATTATCTTTCTAAGTTGATAGAATTCTATGCCATCTGCTGACTCATGATTGTAATTTTACTATATTGTCCTGAATGATAATTTAAAAACTTAAAACATCTTAGGCACTATAGTGTGTATTGGTAAACATCACATGTATTAGAAATAAATGCTTTTCCTAAAAGTTTCCTTTTCTCTTTTTACAGAATGCTGCCTTTTTATATGGTCTTGGTTTGGTCTACTTCCATTACAATGCATTTCAGTGGTAAGTTGACATAAAACTAATAATGCCAGCTGTTTCCAGTAAATGGCTTATTTATGTCTTTGTGTATGGGTGGGGTTGTGTGTATGTGTGATAAACATGTAAAATATTTTAATGTCAGTAAGCGTACCTTTTTCAACAGTAGAGTTTTAAATAATTAGATTGTTCCTTCAGAGGTATTGACCCACCTTAGGTTTTTAGTCTTCTGTATGTTTCTAAATAATCTGCTATAAGATTCTAGTTAAAGAAAGAGTAGATTAGAGATTGTTTTGCAACTTCTCAGCCACTCATGTGAAGTAGGACCAACCCAGGCTATTTGAATTGGGAAATGACTATGCTTTTCATTTAAAATCTCAAGATCTGTGGGTGAGTGATCTATGATTACCAGTAATTTTACCTTTTCAGAATTGAAGACAAGATTGACCACTGTCTGCCTTCCTTCCCCCATACCATACACACCTGCTAATACTTTTCAATTTATAATATTAGGAACTCTCAATTCTCTCTTGTATAAAATTGGAATAATGGTACTGTCTTCAGAATCAGAGATGCTAAATAAACTATAATGTGTAGGGCCCTGCCTTAATGGCTTGTTGCTCCATTGTTTTTGTTTTTACCAGACAAGACAATGCCATACTGTAATGAAAAAAACAAAACACAGAATTTGGAGTTGAAAGGACAGTTTTCTGGTATCCAGTGCTACCATTTAGTTTGATCTTCAGTTGAATACCGTCCTTAGGTCTGTTTCCTCATTTGTTTGATTCAAAAACAAGTATATTGCAGATCACATACTTCTTCTATTTAATATAATTATTTTGTTAGAGTCGTTCTGTTCCCTATAACTTCAAGCTGAGTAAATGCTGTGAGAGTCCAAAGGATGGTGATGCAGTGTTTATCCAAATGTTACAAGCCTGTCTTATGTCTGCTAGCCACTCTATTTATCACAGAGCCTTTCAATATATATTTGCAGTGATTTGAAATTGTTTCCCTAAATATGGCCCTTTAGACATAAATGAGTTTTCCTAGTGTCTTTTCTTCTGTCTCTGGTTTTGGAACTGTTTGGTTTTGATCATTTATTGAAGAATTGCCTTTTTAGAGACTTCTTGTGTGGATGTATATATAGTCTTGTGATCATTCATTTCACTAATTTTCTTTGTAAATTTTACAAAGCTGTGATTGATCTGTATAAAGGTTTTTCCCTCTTAAATTATCCATTACATTAAAGCAAGCTTGACTTACGCCTTCTGACTTCGTATTCAGTACATCATATTTAAATCTTAGAATAGATATAAGACTTTTAAATCTCTTTAAGCTTCTCAAAGATACGATTATAGAAGTTTTAGTTCTGAATTTTGAAAACCAGAAATAGTTTTACTCATTAATTTTGTAGCTGGGGGAAGTGAGGTATGTGTGCATGCATGTCAGCAGGTATGTGCATGTATTTAACTCAGTTTTACATAACTGTTTAATTAGTAGCAGAATAGACTTATGCTCAGATTCCCTAATCTGATAGTTTTCCTATTTACTGCGCCTCCAAGTCGTGATGTTTGAAAGGTGGTTATATTTTAATCTGTTTTTGTCATTATTCTCCTTGGAGCATTGAAGTAGTTTTTATAGTCAGACAGAAATAATTTAGGTGAAGTCTAGGCAAGGAACTCTACACTGTATGAATGAACATGTATACCCCATACTCTCTAATTTTGGCATACTTGTGAGCTCCCTATATAATTAAGATAGGAACATAAAATCAGTAGTGAAGTGAAGCCATCATCAATTCCAAATATTGATTCCTGTACTGTGTATGTAAGTATGTTGTGTTAGGAGGCCTGGTAACTATGGAAAATTATTACACTGTTCAATTCAGTTGACCTAAGAAAAGATATTGAATGGTATAAAATGTCTGAGTTAATTGGTGTCTTCTGCTCTGTTGATCCTGTCCTGTCCTGATCATTTTCTCATGTCCTGAATTTTACCTGCCTATGTGATTTCTCTCTTGCTGTACAGGTGTTTTTTTCCCCACATACTCTTTACCTCAAATTTCTCATTTAACTTACCTTACTATTTCTTGAACAGCCACAAAATTAGGAGGCATAGAGTAGTTGCTTGATTTTAGAGTACAGCCGTAGTTGTACTCTTAATTGTGTTCTTTTTTGCCACTCAGGTTGTAGTAACATTCCCTTGAAAACATCTTAAACGCTTTTTGCATGTGAGACTTTGTTCATGCCTTTTACTCTACTTGGTCTACCTTTCCTTCCATCTTTACCTTTTAAAATCTTAGCAGTGTGTCTCATTAATTGTTTCTGTTTCCTTTAGAAAGAAACTTTACATTTCCTCATATATACACATATGTATACATATATATACACACGTTATTACTGATTTACAGGTAGTAGATTCTCCCTTTTATTAGGGTTAAATTTTGTGGAACTGACTCATCAATCTCTTTGGTTATTTCTGAGGGAATTCTCCAGACTCAGCCTTATTAGGTCTTGTTGTTGTTGTTATGTGCTGTGGAGTCGGTTCCGACTCATAGCGACCCTGTACAGGGTTTCCGAGGCTGTAAATCTTTACGGGAGCAGAAAGCCTCATCTTTCTCCTGCGGAACAGCTGGTAGTTTCGAACTGCTGACCTTGCGGTTCGCAGCCCGATTCATAACCACTACGCTACTTTCAGTGTTGGGGTGGGGGGGTGTGGAGCCAATGATGCACACTGCAGTATGCACTCTTTGTTTCAGTAGCGAGTTTTTAAAGTATTTTGAAAATTATAAATATTTCCTGACATTGTATCATGAAATTATTTTGTAGATTTTGGCAACTAGTTTTCATGTTCTAAAATTCTGTCAATTAGAATTCTGAAATCAGCAGAAATTTTATGTGTTGGTGTTTCAGTCTACCCTGTGCTTCAGAGATCATGTTCTGACTGTTTATCAAGGTACAGGAAGAAGTAAAATGATGATCCAAGATTAGAGTGTATTCAGAATGGTACCCATCTCTCCTATGCTCTCCCTTTCCCCCAGTTTCTCTCTCGCTTTTTTATTTTATTTTTTTAAATACCATGAGTGGGGAAAACTGAAGAAGCACACAGGATAGAAAGATGGGTACATTTGAAAGAGGAAATGAACTTAGATGTTTGATATATTTTGTGTTAGAGAGGAGGAACTGACTAGGAAAGAGATTGTGGGGAAACCCTCCTCCCCTAAACAAGAAATCCAAACAGCTAACTGTCAAAGTAATGTCAAAGTAATGACATCAGCAAATAGCTGTTAAACTCAATCCTTATTGGATTACTTTAAATAAAAATAAAGATTCTAGACCATATTTCTAGACTTACTAAACTAGACACAGTACACCAATGGGTAGAGAATAAAATTATTTGATTATACAGTGGATTTGACTTCTAGCCGATGTTAAATAGTAGTTGGTTTTGCGTTTGGGTGGTGAATCTTGAAGGTAATGGATTTAGAGTGAAATAGAAGAATGTAAATATTCTAAGTCAGAGCATAGTGGAGAAGCAGTGCCCCTAAGAGGGCAGTATTTCTGTAAAGACATTCCTGAGATTAAGCCAGTTCACAGCTGAGGAGAAACAAACTCTAGGGCATAACTGAGAATGGTACATCTTAAATGTAACATAGATTTGATTTATAGTATTGACATAATTAGGCAACCACAGGAACCTCATATTTGAGGAAATAATATGCAAGCCAGAACAGAGTAAGGAAAGCTCTTAAGGAGTGTGTTTCAGTAATGTAGTGATAAGGTATTGAAGACTGAGTTTAATAAGAGATACTGAATATGAAGTGAACCTTGGGGCAGGAAAATGTGATGAATATGAATATATATCTTTCACACATATATAGCCTCATCACTGGCGGTTTTATTAGTCATTGAAAAGCAAACATAGTATGGCCCATGCCTAGTATATTTTGGAGCATGTACTGTTGCTTACTGATTAAAGAACCCATGTTTCTTTGCACCTTTGTGATATTGTCAACTAAGTGGATGCCTATACTAAAGGGACTTATGCAGTAAAACATATCCATCGTTTGTAGCATTAGGGAAAAGCCTGGAAATAGAAACAAAGAAACAGTAGGAAATATTTCTTCTGAGGGGGGAATTGTCATTGATGCTCTATTCTCCTTCCTTCCCCTCTCCCTCATTCACCCTTTCTTGTATCTTTTTTATTTCCTAGCTTTTCTCTTTCTCCTTTTTTCCCCTGTCTTCCACTTGTATTATTTTTCTTTCACGTTTTTGACCGAGACCTGCCTGGGTGTTTTATTGACATATATGGGCATTGCTTAGCTCTGACCCATTCCAGTAGAAATTTTTCTGATTTATATCATAAACTAAGGTTAATTAGGACTTTATGAAATATTATTGAACACATTAGAGAAAACAGTAGAAATTCAGTTGGATAGGAACAGAACCGTAGAAGTCTTTCTATTCTATATCTGCCATTATAACATTTTGACAAGTTTCAGTAATGAGCTTGTATTTTTGTCTCTGCCACATAAAAATAATTAGCTTTCATCATTTGGTTCCAAAGTCATTGTTCATATTTAAAAAAATTAATGTTTGAAAATAAATTTTAATTAATCCTTAATCTAAAGTCACTTAGAGTGGCTTTGTAGTCTAATGTTATGCTTTATTGTTTTCTATAAAAACCTTTTTATGATTGCAAAGTTTAACATATTTAAATAAGAATACATATAACTTAAGTGCACATCATGTAACCATTAACCTGGATGCAGAAAGAAAACATGGCTTAAAAAGCCCTTGCCATATACCCTTTCCTAGTCATACCATAATATGTTTTAATCAGCATCATTTGTTTTATTGATGCAGGTGTTCTGTCATACCTCCTCCAAACATGTGTGCTGCCCTCCCACCCCCCACAAATATGCATACACTAAATTTCCCCTTCTATGGCCCTGTGGGATAAAGCACTGGAACACAGTTTGAATCACAAGGTCAGTTTGAATCATAAGGTCGGCAGTTCAAGCTCAGCAGCCCCTCCTTAGAAATCTTAAACAGGGTTTCTGTGAGTCGGAGTGGACTCAATTGCACTTAACAACAGCAACAACATTAAAAGATTATAGCATTAGACAGGACTCAAGGAATACAGGTTGTACCTACTCCTATGAGATAGTTTTGAGAGAAGTACAAAGACCACCTCTTAGCAGTATGTGGATGAATATCTTAAACTTTGTAGAGAAATGCTTGTAGAGAGAAATTGGAAATTACCTTTGAATGCCTTTGGTGGTTTGTCCCAATTCTTTCTTGTCAGTCTTTTTACTCCCCTGTTGTTGTTGTTAAGTGCCGTCGAGTCGGTTCCGACCCATAGCGACCTTGTACAGGGTTTCCGAGGGTGTAAATCTTTACGGGAGTAGAAAGCCTCATCTTTCTCCCGCGGAGCGGCTGGTAG